TTCAGAAATCATGTTGGAGAACATGATCTTCAGGTTTTACACAAACTTGTGAGACAATCAGGGGAAAAAATGTAGAAGTACTTTTTAAAATTGAATTTATCACAAATTATGCCGATAACAATAAGTAATTAAATATTTTGAGTTAAATAAGGGGGATAAAGCATTTGCACTAGTAGTCTCTGACTTTTGGACCCCACTATAAGTGTGTTTTCTATGGACCCTGTTGTGGACATGTCAGTATTGACATGTATGACAAAACAAGTCTGTGCAAACAGATTTTCTGATGCAACCGAAACTGAAAGAAGTGGAAACTAACTGTGAGCAGTGGGCACACGACCCATACACCACACAGGAGAAAGAGAGAGAGAGAGCTATACTCTAGATCCGATTTCAGTGTTACATAACTATGTGTTTTAATTCTTTCTAAAGCGTGAGACAAAGTTTCTCTTTCCTCCGTGCCTCAGGTGGAACAGTAAGCCTATTAAGCTTCGTAAGTTCTTTTCTGGACACTATATATCACATCGAATCTGACTTTTGGACAAAAAGTGATTTTAAAAAACTTACAGACAAAAAAGACAATGAAATTCATACCGTAAGTTTAGCATGCAACATCATTGTCATGTTGGAGAATGGTCTCCAGTGATGTCAGCTCCCCTCCTGCACCATATCAAAAGCCCCAGGTGCCACTTTCCAAAGCGCACATTACTGAATGAATGAACACCTAGCGAAGGGTGAGACCAGTCGAAGAGAACTAATAAATCTGACGCGCAATGCCACTGCTGCAATACCGCAGGGAGGGCAAAATGCAAACATTAAACGGACATGTTTAGCCTTACAGTTCAGCCTCTCTCGTGCACACTCTTCCATCTCAAACAAGGGCTCAGCAAACAGATGACACACTCTAGTCCACACATTCTCAGTCGATACTCAAGAAAGGTGCGTTCACAAAAACACCACAGGGGACAAAAACCGACACGCTCACTCAGAAAAAGATGTCAAGACATCTGGTTGACGTTATGTAGTCAGCTAGAAGGAAAACTCAGATCTACAATTACGCTGCATCCAGAATTCATTATTTAATGTGTAAAGGCCCATAAAACTGAGTGGAGAATAATGAACGCAACATACTAAATGGATTAGGTTTATGCTGGCTGTGCAACTCCGTTTCTGCCTCATTTTGGGGATTACATCTCTCGGTTTTCTTTGCGTAATCTTTCACAGGTTACGTAAGTACAAGCCATTAGTCAGCAAAGCAAAAAGAAAAAAAAAACTAGCAGCTACAACAAACAACTGACCAGATGATATTAGTACCGATACAAACCTAGGCTTCAAAAGTTAAAGTTCGGATAGACTCTGCCTTGCAGTTTCACGGTTATATGTATATCAAGACTTTATTGTCTTTTTAATTCATTGAAAAAACCCGGATGTAGCAGCAGCGGCTGGTTATTGCTAGTTTTACCTAGTTATTGTTGGCCTACTGCCTGGTTAGAGATTTGCAATGTGTAATCCGTGTCTGCGATGTGGTCATGTGTATGGTGTCAGTCAAACAAACAATGCTGTGTTTATTGATCCGCCCCCGAACTGTAATATAAAAATACACACTTAAATGAAAAAAAAAAACACTTTGGTAAGCAATATATTTACACACATACACTGATGGGATTTATCAAATGGATACTCTGCTTTACACAACTATAATATCTATATACAGGGTTTATGTTAGTTTACAGTCGGAATAAAACTCTCATGGTTGAGCAGGTCATGCATATTGATCCTGCTCTTCTGCGAGCTGAGCCACGCAACGTCAAGCAGGTCGATGGAGAGATGGCCTCTCACTCTGGAAGCCAATGTGATGCTAAAAGCTATTGGCATTGGGAGTTCATGCGTAACTGTCTATCGTTGTGTCTGTGGCTCAGAGTTTCAGGGGTGCAGCAAGGACTGAAATGAGCATGGACAAAGCAATGCAGCTCAGAGACATTTGTGGAAATTATGGCCGGATATGAAGTAAACACAGGCCAGATATGTTTCTTTGCTGTTCTTTAAAGACAAACAACCAAAACGGGGGTCAAGCAATCAAGACGTGTTGTGTATGTGTGCGCGCGTACGAATGCAGTTTGAACGTGATCTGCGTGTGACAGAGTTGTGGGAAAACTAACACCAGCCCTGAAGCAGCACTGTGCACTGTAATGGAGAAGACAAGGTTTGGAGCGGATGTAGAGCTAGGGTTACTAGATTGGGTACCACAGTCCATCAGATATATGCATTGGAAGACACTGCAAGTCCATCTCTGATCAATGAAGCAACCTGATAAATGTTTTGACCAATAGGGCACATCTATTTGTACACAAATGACACCCTGTAACACACAAACAACAACCTAACTAGTGCACTAGTGAAGCCAGTCAGCAAAAACACTTTTAGTATCATTTTCTACCTCTTATAAATATATTTTTGTACAATTAATATTTAATATTCACAAACCCAGCAATAAGTAAAAATGAAACAAAATAGATTCATTTAATATTTTAAAAAAATCATAGCTGTACCCAATACTTAAAAGGGTAGTTCCTCTAAAATCATATTTTTATCATAGCATATACCATATGACTTTATTCATTCCATGAAAGATGATGTTGAGTAGAATAACAGCCTCGGTCACCATACTTTGTCTTGATTGAAAAGATTCAATGAAACTGAATGGTGACTAAGACTGTCATAACATCTCTTTTAGTGAACCACCAAAGAAAAAAAAGTCATTTAGATTTGAAACTATACATAAACGTGAGTAAATGATGACAATTTCTATTTGGTTTGGTGAACTGGCCCTTTAAGAAAAACTTTCTGTTGTGCATGTCCATTATCAGCTTAAAAGTGGAATCAACAAACACATACATTAATTATAAACATGAATGTGTTGTATTTAACACCCACCTTTAACTAGAAATTATTAATAACTCTATTTCATTTTTACTATCCTATCTAAATCAACAATTGGTGAAAGATTTAGGCTATTTTATTTTTCTCATTACATCGAGTAAAATGTTTCTCTGCCGGCGAACCAAACAAAATATAGAGTAAATATAAAAAGCAAAATGTATAATGATTAAAAAACCTTTAAACGGATTAATTCCGTAACTAATTCAAACAAATAATAGCAATTGCTTCCGTCCTGTCGATGACGTTAAAAAGACAAGTAGTCTAAAAATTCTATATCTGGTTCGTGTTCCTAAAAAGATGTCCATGCCATCAGTGTCGGAGAGTCGGGCTCGGTGAGAGGCCCCTGATACTGATGTGATTCTTTCTGACACGGTCCTCTGGGGCACAGAAAGAGAAGCAGAGAGGTGCTCTGGGGGCGTGACACAGAGATGGAGAACTGAGTTTTTGGTGTTTCCATGCAGGCACGCGCACTAAACTTTTTTTTTTTTTAACGAAAAGGCGAAAAAGACAGCTACCTCTAGACCACTTACAGATGAGACAGCCTACTTAAAAGTCGGCATATAAAAAATCAGAATGTTTTTTTTTTCTCCGTGTAATGTCATGCGCGTGCATTGTGTGCTGTATTTGTTTAGATATTTTACTATGAAACGAAAATTACTTAAAAAACGAAAACAGCAGAAGATTGCTTACAATATAAATACATATATTTGAAACAATCAGTTGTCTATCAAAAAATGACTTTAATCCGCATTTTAATTAACAGTTCAACATCTTTATTTATTTATTTATTTTTAGTCTAATAATCTAATTTCAATGCCACGATAAAGACCTGGCCGTGAACTGTATATTTTATACATGAACATGATTTTAAAGATTTTTAAATGTAACTTAGAAAAGGTAGGCTTATCATTAAAAATATTTCATATTATCATCCACAATCTAAAAGAGGAATTAAAACATCTTTATAGCATAATTCTATAGCAAATATAACAGAGCATTAGTATGTTACACTTTAAAACATGAACTCCGACATAAACTAAAGCGTTCTGACTGATAAGCCACGTTCTTTTTTACACTTTTATTATTGAAACATGTTTGCATTTTTTAAACAAAAAGTCTACAAACACTTCTGCTTTTGTTAATTCCATATTATCACAGATGTAACTGCAAAGAGTCAGAGAAGAGCGCGTGGGATGGGCAAAGCGCGCGCTGCTCCACGCGTGTGTTACTGGACTCGCGCGGACATTGCTGCTGCACCTCGACACTTTCAGCGCGCAGCGGCGCCTGACTGACGGAAATGGGTCAGTAGAACGCACACTAACTCCACTCTACCCACACCGTGGTGGTCTGCTTTAAAACACTACGCACATTACTTAAATAACTAAATAAATAAAAAAAAGAACACGGGTAAATTTTGGTGCAGCTGTTTCCCCTGCTAATCTTCTAATCTGTAACAGTGTTAAGTCTTCATAGGCACATAAACCGCGGACATTGCCGCTGCACTTCGACGCGTTCAGCGCGCAGAGGCGCCTGACTGACGGAAATGGGTCAGTAGAACGCACACTAACTCCACTCTACCCACACCGTGGTGGTCTGCTTTAAAACACTACGCACATTACTTAAATAACTAAATAAAAAAAAAGAACACGGGTAAGTTTTGGTTTCCCCTGCTAATCTTCTAATCTGTAACAGTGTTAAGTCTTCATAGGCACATAAATAAAATCCAATCTTTAGGAAAGTTGGAGTAAAGTTGTCTCTGTCTCCATAAACACGAGACTGGGAATGATGTGCGGTTTATTTCTCTTTTAGGGTTTTCTGCTCCCATGAATATGAAACACAGCTGACCAAAAACAGAGTTTTTTTTATCCACATACACATTAATCTGACAAATTTCTGTATCATAGACCGCGTATGAACCACTTGACTTCGGTATGACTTTACGAAACAGACAGTACCAGGGATGATGGACAAAGTGTGGGGACAGGACTGTGAGATGAGAATAAAAAAAAAACACCCTATACTTGATTATTCAAATGAGCTGTCACAAACAGTTGTATTCCTACCTCGCATAGTGGTGGCGACTCGCTCCCGAACGCTTCAGTCATGAAGTAACAAACATAAACCAGAGTAAAAAAACAAAATCCTCGGTGTTGAAGTTTGGTCTCGTCAAAGCGGGAGACTACTGTGCAAAACCATTCCAGAGGTGCGTGAAGCGGTGCTCGGACTCTTCAGTTGTGCGGTAAGGCCAGCACGCGGGGTTTCACATGACATCTGCGAGCGCATATACCCACCGGAGGTTTTCACTGCCTCCGCGAGCGCACGGGAGAGCGCGCAGCAGGCTACGGCAGCCCGGATTGGACCGACACTTTCCGCTCCGCCCACTTTCTAGCGTCTTCAACAGGATCAAGCAGAGACGGACACTGTGCGGTCTGCGCGCACGCCAGCGCAACGCGCACAGACATTTTGATCCATTTTCAAAAGAAAATATTTCAAAACCTTCTTCTCGTAACTATCATATTATTAACTTTTATGTTTGTTTTTTTCCCCCTTTAATAGATTGCTTTTACAATTAGTAGTAGAAGTTATTATTATTGGTAGCCTAGTTTGTCTGAATGTTCCACACTGAGTTGCACTGCATGGATGGTCATAACGGAGTAAAAATGTTTGGATACTTTTTAAAGTTTATGTATTTTAGTTTCAAACATACTTTCAAAATACCTATAGAGAGCAAAACACCTTTAAAGAAACAACATCATTTAAAAACACTCCTTCCCACAAACACATTGGATAATATATACATATATAGCTATAATAGAATATATAGCTACTATATTTATCAATGACCCAATGTTTGATTATTGTGCAGTAACTGAGAGTTTTTTTCAGTGTGTGATATATCAGGTGCCAAATCAGACAATAGCAGTAGTATTAATGTAGTAAAAAAAATCTGAAACGTTTATTAATTATAGTTTTCTCTATATGGTGCAAAAAGTAAAAATAAAATAATTGTAAAAAATGTATTGCATAATATGGTTTCATATTTTTTTACATTTGGCTAATGAAGCAATAATTCTACTTTTTTTTTTTTTTTTTTGACTCTGTAGGAATTCATCAAGGATATTTTTCTTTTTTTTTTTTTTTTTTTTTTTTTTTTAAATCACCTTCATCTAGTAGCCATCAGATTAAACAGCAAATAGCTAGGAGAGTGTGAAATTGCCCACTGCCCGTGTGTGTATGGGGGGAGGTGGAGACATAGACTGAGCTACAGACCCATCCAGGGAAAGGCAGAGACTAGCTGCCCAGAGCACATCACCACTGACCTACATTTCCCCTTTTTTTATTTTCCATTTCCCCTGTATGAACAAACTCATAATTGTGATGTAATGACAAAAAGCAAGCATGACAATAAAGCCAGACCAGTCCGTTGGAGATTGTAAGGCACTGGAGTGACAGCACTGTTGTTGAACAAAAAGCTTTTTCTGGCTATTCAGGAAAGGCCTGAGTGTTGCAAAAAGAAATACATGTAACCTGTGAAGTGGAATAGATAGGTTATAGTGCGTGTAACCTTTGTGAAATCAACATACAATATTTTGCAATATTTTTATTTGACAACGTTAATCACAAACAGAATTAAAAGTCATTCTGACTCACGATCAAAATTTGAACCTTATCTGTTTTTTTCAGGGCTGCAGATTTACAGCAGACCTACAGGAAAAAAATGAATGATCCAAAGACAGATGCAGCCATATGGTGCCTGAAAACTAGTCAGAGTAAAGGTAAACATATTTGGCAACATGCAAAGGCTTAAGAAAGAGTTTGTTGTGCAAAGCATGTGTATTCTCTTCTATTGCTTAGCCTGGGTCTACACTACATACTGCTGTCAAACAGAATAGCTCAAGGATGTCTAAATTGTGATGTTATTTCCCATAAGTACGTAGTTTTCCTCACAAATGACTAACTGGACTGTTGGTCAGGCCACCTCACTGTTAGTCATTATTTTTGAGAAAAGACAGGACTGAGGTCTAAAGATAGAAGCATTAAATGAGTTGATAGATCTCCCTGGTTTTAAGGTTAAAGCATATTTGTGCAACTCTTTTGTCCTTGAATCGACCATCAGGAAGTTAACTTAAATATAATTGGATAACTTTCCATTGAAAATAAAAATTAGGGCACTATTTCTCAAAGGGATTCCCCTTAACTCTCAAATGACACATGCCTTTATATTGTACTCTGGAAACAAGCAGGTGTTTTTGAAAAAGAGAACATTTTACTGGGAAATTGATTGAATACCATATAGGCCTACAGAAAATGATGCTTTTTTTCTTATATATACATGTGTAAGGTGCGTTCGTGTTTGAATCTCTTTCCTATCACTGTTCAACATTATATTTTTGTATGTAGATCAGAGTTCACCCGATAATTGTCTCCCCTTGCAAATCTACATGTCAAATGTCAACATGCTGAATCTCAGACAAAATCCTCGCTGTAATGAGTCGGAAGAGAGAATGACATTGGCTTTCAGAGAGAGAGAGAGAGAGAGAGACAGAGGGGAAAAATACACTTGAGAAATTTACAGAAAGATACCACAAGTGACAGAGGCAATTTTCTGGGAAAAAATTACTTCATCATAATTTCAATCCCAAAAAGAATTGGAATGAAAGCCCTGAAGGAGCCGAGCCGTGTCACCTTGAAAAATGGCAGTGGAAAAGATCACTAAACTTCTCCACACACACACAAATGCTCTGACACACATATACAGATGTACACAAACACAATCAAACTAAATATTAAATTTATGCTGTTTCTTACACAGTTTTGTTCTTGTACTAAACCGCTTTGCCACTTTTACAGGGATGCTGCAATTTCTTCAAACCTTTTTTTATACACTATTACATTATAAACCTAGACAGATCACTTATCAAAAGTATGGTTAAAATTTAATATAATTAGATGGCCTAAGTTTTGCACACTAGTAAATGATCAGATCTAGTATATGGAATCATTTTAGCTGGATGTCAAAATGGCCCAAATAAAGCCAAAGGGACTGTATTATAATTTTATTGCGAGACTAATAAAGTTGGAGCCCATCTCATCTGTATCAGCAAGTAATAATCAGATTTCTCGTCAAAACTATTAATAAGACCAATCGTGCAAAATATAACTGCCTTCCCATCAACATAGTACAGAAGCCTGCCAATCAGTTGATTTTAATTGGATTTTTTTCTTAATCCATGATTTTTTTTTCTCCTTCACTCGCTCTTAACAAAGCTATTAAGATATTAAAACTAATGTTACATTGAGTGTAGTTTTTTTGTATGACACATTAGAATATGCTCATATGCCCTGAGGCAAACTCTCAAAATAATTTCTCCTGCTGATTTAGTTTTCAGAGCCTAATAAATGTTGATGTCAGTTACGTTGAGAGAGACTTTTGTACAGAAACACTGCACAGTTCTTGCTTTTGAAAATGATCAGCGCAAAACGCAACATAAAGACCAGCTACTATATCATGTTTATTACAGTGATAAATGTCAGAATAACTTCTGGCAGACTATCAGTAGCTGGACAAGACAGTGCTGCATGAATGAGAAAACTGCTCTGAACCGATTATGCGGCTCTCTGTAATACTTGATGCTGATTGGTCAGTCGTGCCACCTAGAGATTAGCCGTCATCCATGGCAATATATTAGACCACTTATTCCACTTATTATATAGTAGCTTTGCTTAGGGTGAGTATAGCCATGAAATATGTGGTATAATCTACAGTCAGCCAGTCATTATTGCAAAATAAACCTCGACAAGGTGATAAGAAGCCCAACGTGGAACGTGATTTAGTTGTGCATTAAAAATCCCAATCCAATTCAAATCCTCATTTGTTGCAGTTCGAATTACCCGAAGCGACTGGATTCTGTGTCAAAGTGTGACCTCTGTGTCCTACATAAGCCAAGTTCAAACAAATCGACACTTCTCAGAACTTCTTAGTCTACCACAGATATACACCATTAACTTAACATTCCTTATTCATCCACGGACATAACTCGCAGTTAATAATTCACACCTACATACTTGATTCGCGCAATCATTTTTAAGGCACCATTATCGCAAATTGGCCTTTCCAATTTATGAATCTAAAGGGACGGATCTAATGGGGGAGACCTTCACCTCTCTACACCCCCAAAGAGGAAGTGTCTGATGAAGAAAGGCTAATGGCTGCAGTACAGTCACCTCAGGGGCTGAAGACTGGAGTCAGAGGGGTTGAGGTAATGGAACATACGCCAGCAGTAGCTGAATTATTCACTCGATCCACTGATGCAATATACACTAACACACAAAACACACTCACTCACACACACTCACACTCACACACACACACACACACACACACACACACTACTGGCTGTCTGGCGTGAGACTAGGTTTCTCTCTTCTCTGATGAGAAACTTGCTGTCGTGTGCACATTTTCAAAGAGTCTCCCCGTGTTTTAACATCCCATTCTTCTCTTTGATGTCTGCCATTTATCTCCCATTTGTTAGTTCCACAGATTGTCACTGTTAAACTCAACACGTTCCCATCGACTACGTTTGGCCGCTGACCAATCCCAATCTTCTGGCATGATTTTAAACAAAACACAACACCGTTACGGATTCCAGCGCTCCTTTCCTCCCGCCTTCCGTCTCTCGCTCATGAAAAACAGATTAAGTTAATGAATTGATGGGCATCTTGCCTGCGCAAGCTGAGAGTTAGGCTACGCGGACAAATAAAGTAGCATTACAATACAAGAGCACAGACAGACACAAAGGAGATCGAGGCTGCATAGCTTCCCTATTGTTTGGCTGGGAGAGTATAGAAAGGCTTACAGACTGCTTGTCTCACGAGCCAAACAGGAAACAAAGGGGAACTTGTTGCCAGAGTTGAGGAGAAATTACAGTGGTGTCAGGATGCTTGTTGGGATGTGGGGGGCACCAGACTCATAAACGCACAAACAGAGACATATTTACTGTAGCAAACATCCGACAGCTTGGGCCGCTGGAGGATTATGGGGCTTCTCGAGGGAGTCTGAGTCTCTGAGAGCCATAGGAAGAGGATGATGATGTCTTTCTTTTATCATCCTTGATATAGATACCATAAAAGCGAGGAATATGTTAGTGATGCAACCGTGGTACAACTTTTGCGCTCTCTGAAGACAGTGACTGAAGAACTGATATCGTGTCATAGTTTATCATCTCCATACAGAAACTCATTGACATTTGCCCTCTGACTATCGGCATCATGTTTGAAGACCATCAGAAATCA